CCACTGTTTTTACACCACAAGATATTTTGGGTGGGACCATTATTTTACCGCACTGTGGAACAACATTAATCAACCCCAAATAACTCAGCACCTCAAACTGTTGGGGATGGAGGAGAGACAGTAACCTTAAAAATAAGGGAAGAAACTAAACAAAGAACTCCAATAAGAGGGGAAAAAACAGTTCAACTTAGCATTCATCTTAAAGAATCCAGTGTTTCTGATATGAAATCAAGCTCAGAACTCCTGTTTAAGTGCAAACAGCATAGACTTTTTAAAAATGTGCATATCATGTACTTTCCATCTTTAAAGGGAGAGGATATGATATGTGTGTAGATAGCATAATAGTGTATCCCACTAAGAGAAAAACTAAAAAATTTTTAGTTTATTGGAAAGCTATAAAACTAAAAAACTAAAAACTAAAAAATGAAGTTAGCAGGCATGAGAATCTTGTGTAAAAGTAAGGTTAAGATATATTCCATATATTCAATCTTTTGTTGTCAATTCTTAGTGTTCTAATGATGCCATTTGAGGTGGGGAGTCAAGGGCATCTGATTCAAAATCAGGTTAATTTTAATTTTTTTTAAACGGCTAAGGAATTTTATAAGGAAAAGAAGTTGAACAAAGTTTTAAAACTTTGGACAATGTCGTTTAACTTTTAAACCAAAACAATATATGTAGTTCAGAAATACCAATATATTTTGTCTTAATATTACGTATAGGAAATAAAAATATAAAAATAGTATAATGGCCATATTTATTAGTCACAGGCTATGAAGAGTGTATAAATGCATTGTAGTAATTAAATGCTATGACATGAGAAACCATGAAAATTGACATGTTCTGGTGTAACCAACACATACACAGACATACACACACTACACTGAGCCACTGATTATCTCTGGGGCTACCTTCTGAGACCATCTTGAATCCCCTAATTAGAAAGGGCAATTATAGCATATGATTTTCATTACAAATTACTTATGCCACAACAAGCAAAACCTAGCAAGAAGGCTGAGTGAAGATGCGGCTCCTGCTAGGCTTTCTTATTGGTGAAGTGACCTACTCTCTTCATCAGCTGTGTTGCACATCTACTCAGATTGTGTCTAGCAAATTTACAACTTACTATGTCATCAACCATCTGAATCACTTGGGAAAAGTCAAACTGATGAACACCATAAGTCATATAGTAAAGACATTGTACTATATATAGTTCATACTGACAAGGAACCTTTTCCGATTGAAAATGCAAATTTATTTTAATTAAGTGATACTTTTAGAGAAACAGTCTTACATAGAAATAATATGTATTTAGAGCCATTCATGCTCTACTTTGGATAATCTATTAGCATATTACTCATTTGCTTGCCTTTTGCCTTTCTAACTATTTCTTTAGTCTTGGTAAGCCCCTCAGAGAGAAAGAAGGATGAAGGGAACAGATGAAATGAAAACTAGTTTATTTGACTGCTTTGAAAAGGTTTGGAAGTGGAGGAGAGAGTAAAGTCAATACATGAAATCTATTTTGGAGTTATTTTTGGATGCTATTTATCACTATTAGCCTCAAATCCAGTTTTAAATACATTCCACCATAAATTACAAAATAACTAGTCTATAAATCAGGAATCAGTGTGAAATCACTTTATAGAAGAAATTTTCCTTATATAGTAAAGAAGTAGTAGTTTATCTTAAATCCTCATTCTCTTTGGTAAGCATAACAAGCAGCTCAGTGACTGCCATATTTCTGACAGTGCCATGTAATTAGCTGACTCACCTAATAAGACTTCAGAGCAGAGTAACATTGCCAGCTGTTTTTCCTGTCACATGGAATATAGAACTAGTTGCAAATACTAACATACAATGGGAAGTCTGGGAATAAACTATTTTCAGTTTTCATGTCTAAAGATTAATCCTCCTCTTCCATTAATGAAAAAAACCACTACTCTATATGTTTAAATATATATTTAAAGTTGATTATTTCAAGTTTGCCTAGATAGGATTCTTGAAGATCAGCCCCTTGGGGAGTGATTGAATAAGACATCAGAATAGAAGTGGGTCAACCTGAGAAAGAGCTACTCTTGTCTTGAGCTCGGAAGCAGCCAGTCATTTCAGCTTTGCAAATGCATTGACATATGGAGGCAAGTATTAAAACTAGCAACTAGGTGAGGAATCAGTGGGGAGTGTAGGCTTTGACAAAGAAAGAGATAGAGAGCCTGCTTCTATATTTTAGGGAATTTAGTGAATGCTGAAAGGCTCCTGGGAAGAGGAAATTTGCTGTCAAGATCTTAGTGAGTCAAAGCCTAGGTGTTGGCTTTCAAAAATAGGTAGGAAACTGGTCTTAATATCTGACTGGGAGAAAATACTTCAGGCAAAACAAACTGCTCATACACAAAAGGGTGGATAGGACTAACAGGGCTCTAAGAGTGAAGGCAATAGCTTCGAGGCTAGTGGATATGAAACCCGGGAGAAGGATCTTAAAGAGCAAGATAAAGATGTGTCTTCTTCATCTAAGAGAGTAAAGACTAGGAAAGGGTATATAAAGTCAAAGCAGGAACAAGGACATTCAGGCGAATCTGGTAACCTGAGGTTCCAGGAGTCTCCTTATCACTGGGAACAGATGCCAGTCAAGTGTAAAGGGCTTTCAAGATCGGGAAGGAAAACTCTTCAAGTGGATCCGAGCCTTCAAGTTGAAATATCTTTGTTTAGCATGTATGACAGACAGGAGGCCCTGAGGAGCAATGCCCCACAGACCTCAGTAGTCAATTTCAATAGCTGTTGCAATTATTCTACCCTGTAAATTCTTTCATTGTTAAGCTTGGTCACACAAGTTGTGGTCATTACTCGCTTTTGGTTACTCTGAATACCTGTATCCATGTCTCAACAATCTGAGATAAAGGGGAAACTGCTTACCAGATTATCATGAAAAAGAATGGGCTGGATGTATTCTAAGAAGGTCATTCAAATGAAATATTACTAAAATGCTTAATTTTCTGTCTTACTCTGACATGGAGTAACAATGATAGTTAAGATTTATTTAGGCCTTACTCTCTATTTGGTACTGTTCCAAGAGTTTCACATGCATTATTTGATCCTAAAAAGTAATTTCAGGGCCAGCCCCGGTAGCCTAGTGGTTAAGTTCAGCACACCCCTCTTCGGTGGCCTGGAGTTATGTTCCCGGGTGTGGACCTCAACCACTCATCAGTGGCCATGCTGTGATGGCAGCTCACATACAATAAAAGAGGAAGATTGGCAATGGATGTTAGTTTAGGGCGAGTCTTCCTCAGAAAAAAAAAAATTCTGTGAGGATGTTACTATTACTAATTCTCTATTTTATCAATGAATGAGCAGAAATAGGCAGTCTAGCTCCAGAGTCAAACTCTTGGCTGTATTATGCAACATAATTTGTCATGCTTCTTGAACAAAACCTCTTATATACTAAAACATTAAGTTGAGCTGCTTACACAAGATGAAATTAAATTTCAAAAAATTAATACTCTCAAAATGCAATGTAAAATATTTTATGATTAAATATCCGAGCTATCTCTGTTACTACTTAGAAGTTTCTTGCTATTTTTATCAGAAAAAAATAAGAGGCTAAAAGAATTGCATATATGTGATATAGTTACAAGGGAAAAACCAGACAGAATATATTTTTTACTACATTGTTATTAAATCTGCAAACACTAGGTTGATTAACTTTTTGTTATAGGGAAAAATGGCTTACTATGAATTCAATGCAGAACATTTTTCTGGTTTAGACCTTTTCATTAGAGTGTGTTCTAACAGAATAAAGATGATAAAATTGTCAGAAATAAATTGGTCATTTTTTTCCTTAAATACATGGCACAGAAACTACAATTCTTTAGACTAGATTGAAATGTCATCACTTGAGTTTCTTTCTGCACTCCTTTTGACCAATTAATAAAACTTTTGCTTGGGTCACAGGACTTATCTTCCTTAGCTCACCACTGGAAACGGTAATCTCTCTCCAGCACCAAGTTCATTTTGATTATCACATTAAAACGTAATGGTCCATTAAGTCCATGGATGGATGTTACACTTAGTCATGATGTTTATTTGTTTATTTACCCTATCTTATTCCACAGAGAATTTGAAGGGGAATAAAAGATGATTTCTTCATCACAGCAAACGAACAACCTCTGCTTTGTCTAGTGTTATCTTTTTTCTTTCTTTATTTAAGCACTAAATGTTATTTGTGTTCTTTTAATTACTTTTAAAGCATCCATTATTTCGGGATTACATTATTGAACTGAATAAAGTAATACAGAGTTCTGTATTTAATTTTTTCAACCATTCTCCCTGCTTTAATTTGGTTCATTTATATCTCCCTTCGGTTTTTATTGAGTGGGGACTCCTGATTTCTGTATCAGAGGGAAAGAAACAAATATACACAATATTCTGTATTTACGATGCTGCAACTCTCTCTACGGTTGCAGTAGTTGGGTTGGGTGTGTGTGTGTATTAGAAACCATTATCAAGGATGATTCCAAATCTGTTGAGGAACTAAAACTGTGGTTCCACAAGCACTCTAAATCTTTGTTTCATAGTTCCCTCCCTCCGACAATTGTATCCACTATTTGTTGTTTGGAAGACCTTGAGAAAATATGCTTTTAAAAGCATGGGATTTGGTGGCCAATTGACCTAGTGGCAGATAGTATCTGTGAGATTGTGAGCAATTTAGATGTCTCAACTGGAAAATGGTAATAAAACCTTTCTCAGACTGTTGTTGTGTTAAATGAGATGAATACATAAAACAGCCTATAATGACCAGTGCACAGTCATAATAATACCAAATATTTACTGAGCATCTACTAGGCCTTAGACTGTCTTGAGCACTTTATTTTTGTTATCTAAGTATCCCAATAAATGCATATACTGTCTCAATACATATCACCCACTGTTGTTATATTTTCATCTTATTGCTAATTTTATTTTAGCTTTTTTCTTTATTTTCATTAAAATATAGTTGATGAGAAATATTATGTAAAAATATGGAATGCTTCACAAATTTGTGTGTCTTCCTTACATAGAGGCCAGGCTAATCTTCTCTGTATCGTTCCAGTTTTAGTACATCTGTTGCCAAAGCAAGCATTTTTTTTTTAAAGATTTTACTTTTTCCTTTTTCTCCCCAAAGCCCCCTGGTACATAGTTGTATATTCTTCGTTGTGGGTCCTTCTAGTTGTGGTATGTGAGCATGCTAATTTTTATAAAAGCTTTTCTAAGAAAATATTGAAACAAAAAAAACTGTTTTAAGAATGGGAGCTTTTGCCTTATTTCATTGATTAGCTACATTTGACTCTCCAATGAACCTCGTGTTTTGCCTTTCTCTAACCGGGCCACAAGTCCTCCTCTTTGGTCTCTTTCCTTCAGCTGCCCAGAATACAGTGAAAACACTTAGTACTAAATGACAGACAGGCCTTGTTGTATCCTGAGCACATCCTAGTGACATAGATAAGAAGCAAATGCTACAAGTGCAGTGTTCTAATCATTTTTAACTGAAGACCTACAAGCAGAAGCAAAGCTATATTTAGACTGTACTGGGGGTGAGAAATATTCACAGTGCCAGTATTTGAAGATGAACATACCTTTTTTGATATCTATAACACTCAAAAAGAAGCATCTCTTATCCTTGCAAGGATATAATAATTACCTTCCCAAAATTGAAGTAAAACAAGATATATATTACAAGTCATGACCCTTCTCTTGTAGCCTCTTGGGTCAACCTCACAAAAGGGTCAGTAGTGTACCTGTGAAACTCTAGACTGCTCTGTCAGTCAACTACAGCCTTAACATAAGAAACACAACACAGAGGAAAAATATAGAACACTGAGATCTTAGAAACAGCAAATACCAATAGCGTAACAGTAGGATTTATGACAATAAGTCACAATAACTGGTAGCACTGTGACTTGCATCCAAAAATATGCAATATGTTTGGCTTTAAGGAGTTATAAGATTTTGGGAGGCAAATATAGAATTAACATTCTTTTGTACTGAGAATTGACATAATAATGATGATTTTTGTGAATTATTTATCAATAAGCACTTTGAAGTTATAATAAAACTATGATACAGAAAATGTTGTTTCTCTACTTCAGAGATAGAGGTTCCATAAATTTTGCTGCCAAATATGCAAGCTTATTGCCAATACCAACATACTCAACTAATCAAAAGAAAGTAATTAGCAGTATAAATCCAATAAACATACTTGTTACACATAGTGCATTATATTGTAGAATGTACAACATTATATAAGACACGGTCCCTTTACCTCAAGCAAACTCAAGTCTAGATAGATAATAAGAGATACGTAAAAGCAAGTAAAACACAAGGTAGTAAATGTGATACAGGGCAATAGGAAGGTAAATGTAAAATGTTCAGAATGGGATGAGATTACTTCTGGCTAGAGGAAACATCATTAGAAGAAGGTCTGAAAATCTTGGTCAGACTGGGAACTTCAGAGAGAGAACACATGGACAAAAACGTAGTGGTTGGATGTGATTTGTATGGTTGGAGCATAGGATGTGGGCATAGATGAGTGCCCTGAAAACTATTCAGTGCAGTTGGAACATTTGAACTGTTCTGTGTAGAATGCCAAAAAGTTATATAGCACAATTTTGTTTTAGGAAGAATGTTCTGGCAATGATGCACATAGCACTTTGGAAGGAAGAGAAGCAGAGATGGGTGGATCATGTAGGGGATTAGTCACAACAACAATCCAGAGAGACGTAGATGTGACTAGAGGAATGGGAGTGGAAATGGAGCAAAGTGATTGATTTTTTAAGATGATATAGAAGTTGAATGCACAGAATTTAGCAACTATTGTTCAAAAACCATGCTAAGTCTGAGATTTTATTCTACTTACAAGCTAACAAGTTAGCCTGCCACAGTTTTATGGATACTGGCCAAAGACGCAAGTGTCCTGGGTCAGAGACAAATGACTTTATTGTTCATGATAACGGCAGTAGCCAGAGTATCATCATTTTCTTGAGCTGATTCCCCCAAGCCCCACTTCCCTCAGGGAACTTCAGGTGAAGCCTACACAGCCAGTGTGTTGAAGAGGAGTCCATGCTAGGGAACCTGACTCTTTTATAACAGGCACTAAACATGTCTTTCCCTTGCTCCAGAAAGAGACATTATCTCTCACCAAGGCTGTAAGCATACCTGCCCTTTGCTTTAGAGGGAGAAACTATTTTTACCTTCCAAGGCTGTGGACTATACAAAAGTCCTTGAAATATAGTCTTAAACAAAAGGTAGTTAGTGCCTTGCTTGCAAAATGTGAAGAAATGCAAGACCCTGGGCCTCCCAACACTACTTGAATGTGGACAGATGACACAAGGACAACAGGTAAAAATGATTAGGTTTTGAGTTTCACTGACTAGAAAGATGGGGAATATTATTAGCAATAGAGAAAAAGAAAATAAAGTAGATTTTAGGGGCAAAGTCCCTTTTTCTTATGTTGAGTCTCAGGCGCTTCCATAAATAAATGCTGAAAATGAGACTAGAGTGGAGATTTCATAAATATAGATATACTTTGAATATTTACTCCATAGAGGTATTTGAGGATCTCATTAGAGTTCACAAAACTAAGAGAAAAAGAGGCAAGTGAAGGAAAACAGTACGGCATCACCTGAAGAACCTTCTTAGTTAGGAGGCAAGGCAGGAAAAGGAGGGAAAAGCAAAGGCAAAGAGATGGAAGATGAAAAACAGGAAGTAACAGTGTTTCAGAGGCTAAATGCAAAAGGCCTCTTACTAACAGCTTGGTGCTGCTACTGGTGTTTCAAGCGCTGAGAAAAGCAAATGAGGCAGAGAGCTGCCCACGTGCACTTTCAGCACTAAGTATTTTATGCGTGGGGGATACATACATGTTTAATAGATGTTTGTTTGTTGAATAGTCCAGAAAAAGACAGAGGAAGAAGTCATATTTCAGGGGATAAAGGAATAAGCAAGACCGTAGGAGGCCACAATGGTGGACAAGATTTTGCAAAGTTGTGAGCAGACAAAGTTGTTGTTGGGACAATTAGTTTTGAGGGTGATGGGATTTGTGATGAGTAGGCTTTTTCATTGTTTTTGTTTGTTTTGCTTTTCTTGATGAAGAAATGGAGAAACTTGTTACTGATTCCAGTGGGAGTAGAATTTGGCAATACACAGCAGAGAGGGATTGGTTGATAGAGCAGCTTCTCAAATGAGAGGGAAAGGACCGCAGGCAGGTGAGGTTTCCTGTGGGAGGTGGCGGGACATGCTGCAGCTGTAGATGGAGACAAGAGAAGTGAAAGGAGCCTGCGACACAGAGTCTATGTTCTCAGTAGAATAGGTAATGAAGTCATAAGAAGAAGGTTCTAGGACTGGGAAAGGCAGAGGAGAGAACTTAGATTTATTTATTGACTTATCTTGTAAAGTAGTTAATCATCTCATTTTATTGAGGATAAACATGAATGTCAGAGACACATTTTTGCCTAAACTCACAAATATGATTAACAGTCAAGCTGGGTTCAAAACCATATCAGTCTTAGACTAAAAGTAAGTTTTTAATCTCTGTGGTCTCGTGGTGGTCTTAAGGGCAGTGGAAAAGTTTCATAATGGACTTTCTGAAAAATAAGATAAAATATCAATTAGGAGGAAATAAAATGAATGCTGAGAAGAGGTGAGTGCCAAGTGGAATGTTGAGTATCATCACTTTTTAGTTGAATCAACCAGCCCATCATCCTGATTTTTCTTTTGCAGGCAAAGGATTTAGCCTACGTCTTGAAGCTTTCACATGGACTGAGTTCATTGTGAAGTGTTATATGGCGACAATGTAATAGTGTTCAATAGATAAAGAAAAAACACCACCACCTCAGAGAATTCTACTGCCAGAGTTCCCTCTAGGGCGACTCTCCAGGCCTCACAGCTAGTTTGTAAACAAAGAATTTGGGCGGCCCGGTTACTTTACATTAACAAAAGCCTAGTCTAAAGTACATATATAATACCATATTTGTATATAAAACCTTCTATTCTACCCAATTCCTAAATCATACAATCAAAAATTTTCAATTCCAAGTATTTGGAAACAAGAAAAAAGTCACTTTGACATAAAATTGACATATCTAAAGGAGACTGTGCATAATGTGTTTTAAAATGAGAAAAAAATTGAAATTTGATTTTTGAGATTAAAATCAATTCAAGTCTATATTAATTATTCTGAATGTTGTATTTGTTTCACACCCTTCTTCTATACAAACTTTGGTTGTTTTGCTTATCCTCATTCTAGATTCCTCTGACTTTTGTTTAATTTTGATATCTCTGAAAGTTAAATCTAGGAAATGATTCAGTCGTCTCTGGCCCTAACTTTCCCAGTGCTGGCATTCTCCTCTTAGCTGTGGCTTTTCCTATCCCATTTTTCACAACTCAAAACATAATTTGGTGTGGAGTACTCATGCATCCCATCTCTATGGAAACCAAGACGTAGGCAGGACAAAGATGATTTTATTAGAAAGTCCACTCAAGCAGAAAAGCCAGTGCACACAATTTACTTTCCTGGTGGGCTCAGCAAATTTAACCTGGGAAAGAATGGCTGCCTCTGTCGAATTTTCCTAGGCAAGTGGAACATTCGACAACCACTGAATGTTCCAAACAAAACAAAACAAAAGCCAGGTGGTGGAACTGTGCTGGTGTCCTCACGTGCTTATGCCCAGAAAATAGCAGGTTGGAGCTTCTCTATGATTGTTACTGTAGCATAACAATTCTTGCCCAGATTGGACAATCCAATCGTTTTAAACCGTTGTATCATCATCACAGCATAATTATTACCAAGTAGAAAATAACCACTTCTTCATATGCAATTTTTTAAAAAATCTCTATAAATAGATAAACGTGATTCCCGCCCATCGTTTCCTTTCCCCTGGGACAGGGGACCCAGCACATCAAAGGAATTCATAGAGTTCCTTGGAGCAACTGTGAAAACCACAATGATCAACTAAATAATTGTTTCCATCAAAAGAAAAATATAAAGATGTTATTTCAGGAAAAAGGCAGCATGACATAAAAAGTCCCAGTAGTTAAGAAACTTGAAGCCACTTTTAATGCACTACTGATAAATTATTATAATT